GGGGGGGGATAAAGGGAGTCAGAAAACTGGAACTGAAAGAACGACGCAGATTTGGGAATTGGAAGACTTGAGTTTCAGCCTTGGCTTTGCCATAAGCTCTAAGTAAGGCACTGAATGCCTATAAACTCCCATTTTCTAAATGGCCAGTTAAGGCCAATAAGAGGGGATACTTATGAAAGTACATTAAGCCATTGGGTTACTACATTTAAAAAAAAACTACATGTTTCTTAATGGACATATGTTTACATTTACATATAGTAAACTTCATCTCCCATCTCATAAAACTCAGAAGACTCCCCTGATGTCTAAACTAAGCAAAAATAAAAGCCTTTTTTTCATATTAGAAACTTTAAAACCTAAATCTGTTGTTGTCTTAACATTATTTTCCAAAAAAGGTTAATAGGGAATGGCTAATTCAAAAGCAAAATGTTGCACAAACCACTTTCAAGAAAAGAAATACACCACGGGAGTGTGCTTATAGAAGTCGTGTCAGCTAAAACCCCAAGTGGCGACACATGAATTCAGAGTATCAGCCGGTCCTCTCCTCCCTCCTGAATTACCTGACCGATGGAAGTTTGGTTTTGTTGTTTCAGAAAGCACTGTTTCTTACATTCCATCAATTGTTCAAAATCACGCCACATTTTCACTTGTTTCATATTTGGACCGTGACTTTCTCGTACAGCTTTTTGTTTCTCCCGAAGTTTCTATTGTAAAAAAAAAAAAAAATCAAGAATAATTAAGTCTCAGTTACAGGGATTTACTTCTATTGCCATAATCAGAAGAATATGCTATGCCTTGTACAATCTATAATAATAAAAGCATATTAAGCTAAATAGACCAGGCGTCCTTCCAGACAACCTTCTGGATGAAGCCAGGGCTGGAGGAAGCCTGGGTCCCGGGTGCCAGAGGGAAGCTGGTGCCAGCAGTTGGGAGAAGAAAGGCCTACTCTTGCACGAATTTCGTGCATCGGGCCTCTAGTTCATGAATAATAGTCAACTGAATCAGATTCTCCTATGAAGTATGAAAACTAAGGCTATACAAGTTAAATAAAGTTACCATTGATGTATGACAACCTGCAGTTAAAGAAACCAACACAAAAACATAAAAGACATTTTACTGGTCACATTTTGCCAAACTGATGAAGTCAGAATCAAAGAGAACTATTTGTTAGGCATTGCTAATTGCAGATATTAGCATATCGAACCAACCAAGCCTGGGGAAATTATTTTCTTGACAAGGTACAAGTATAACCATTTCATATAAGCCAAAACAAAGATAGTGGACATTAAGGTCTCGACCAGTTAAGGCCAATAAGAGGGGATACTTATGAAAGTACTAGAGGCTCAGTGCACGAATTCGTGCACAGGTGGGGTCCAGCCGGCCTGCTGGCCGGGGGAGGAACCATGGATGGTTGGCCAGCTGGTCCTGCCCCCTGGTTGAACTCCTGGTCAAGGGGACAATTTGCATATTAGCCTTTTATTATATAGGATTTACTTTATAAGGTTGTTTTTTCATATGATGTAATAGATATAAAAAATACATGATAAACTATCATGTGTTATGTTATTATTAAATAGTGTATTCTTTCCTGACTCAGTATATGCTCTATGTATGCATATGTTTCTAAAGGAGAATGTTTAGTGATTTTTTTTTAAAAAGTACACTATTAAATTGGCCCAAATCCTAATTAGAATTATCTCTGTTACTAATGACATGGTTCCACTACTAAAACTTCTACTCACTGACTCTAAAATTATAAACGGGAATAAGAACATTTTTCAGTAAATTGCAAAAATGTACTTTGGGTCTATATTGTGACCAATTGAGGAAGAATGACTGAAAGGAGGGATAGCACAGAGTCAGAGACGAAGAGAGGCAAGAAAGGAAGGAAGGAGAACAGAGGAAACAGAGCAGATGACAGTGCACATAAGGGAACAGTGACAGAAATACACTCACACCGAGCATGGGAAATCATCAAGAAAAACAGAAAAGCAAGCAAAGACACAAACAGACTACACAGAGGCATCCCCATCTTTCCTTCTTTTAGGATATAACTGAGCTACTGGTTGATCTAAGGACACCAATGAGAAGACTGGTAGTTGATATTTGCCCAAATAAGAGGCTAAACTAAGCTGAGGATCAGATTCAAACCACTTACTAAAAACTGCCCTCTCAGCTATGGCTAATGAAAGCAAAGGTAATAGCAATCAGCAATAGGAAACAAAACAGAATTAAGAAAATATAATTTAAATATAGCCAACAAATTTTTGACATAATACCTGGCATGCAAATACACCTATTTAAGTCTATGTTACAAAGAAAGTATCTTAAAAAAATATTTTTATCCTCATAAACTAAAACAAAGAGTCCAATCAAGAATTTTAAAAGTTCTGAGCATGATTTTAAGATTAAGTTGCTACTTAAACTGTAACTTTTCTTATATTATTGGAATAATTTCCTTGTCAAAATCCTAACAATCTATAAAAGCTATTTAAAGAACTAAAGACAGGATGTGGGTACTGTATCAGAAATATTAAGTTTAATTTGCCTCACACCCACATGTATTTGAAACCTTTAACTTATGAATTCAACTAACTTTCATATATAATTAATTAATTATTTTTTGGTTAATCCTCACCCGAGGATATTTTTTCCATTGATTTCTAGAGAGCGGAAGAGAGGGAGGGAGGGAAGAAAGAGGAAGAGGGAGAGGGAGAGGGAGGTAGGGCGGTGGGGGGGGGGAGAGAGAGAGAGAGAGAGAGAGAGAGACTGATATGAGAGACACACATTGATTGGTTGCTTTCCCACACATTCCTGACCGGGGATCGAACCCACAACCTGGGTATGTGCCCTGACCAGGAAATGAACCCACAACCTTTCAGTCTACAGATGATGCTCTAAGCAACTGAGCCACACTAGCCAGGGTTGTGCCTTCACTTTTATAAAACTAAATTCCCAAGAAAGTATCTATATCTTTAAAAAGGCTTAAGAAGGATCCTATTTCCCTTCGAAAACTATACTAAAGCCCTGGCTGGTTTGGCTTAGTGGATGGAGCTTCAGCCTGCGGACTGAGGGGTCCCTGGTTCGAGTTCGGTCAAAGGCATGTGCCTCGGTTGTGGGTTGGGTCCTCGGCCTTGGCCAAAGCTTGTGCGGGAGACGACCAAATTGATATGTGTCTATCACACTGATGTGTCTCTCCCCCTTCCTCCCACTCTCTCTAGAAATCAATGGAAGAATATCCTCCAGTGAGGATGAACAAAAGGAAAACTGTACTAAATCTTTTAAAAATTAATGACAATGTCATAACCATATATTGAAAACCTGAATTAGACATATTAGAAAAAAAATAGCCCAACTGATTTGGCTGAGTGGATAGAGCTTCGATGGACTGAAGGGTCCCGGTTCTATTCTGGTCAAGGGCATATACCCGGGTTATAAGCTCTATCCCCAGTGTAGGGCATGCAAGAGGTAGCTGATGAATGATTCTCTCTTATCATTGATGTTTCTATCGCTCTCTCCTCCTTCCTCTTTGAAATCAATAAAAATATATTAAAAGTAAATAAGTAACTAAAATAAATAATAAATTCTTACCTTTCCAAGATTTTCTTGTTCAGCAATATTTTTGGTATACTGTTCCCTAGAGAGTCAACATAATAATTTAACTTCAATTGATCTGAACATAAAACATTAACGTATCTACCTAAATATATTAAACAATGAAATTTAGAGTACTGGAGTCAGAAGAAAACCCATTATCAAATATTTTCTTTCCTCATCCTTAGTCAGTTTTTGGAAGTACACTAGAGTAAACAGTAATTTAAGGGGAAAAAAGACAAAACATCGCATAAAATTAAGAGAATTAAAATGTTAAGTACTATTTCTTGTTAATCTACCCTTAAAACAATGGCAAGCCATTTGCTTAAATTACTTTGTTTTTGAGGAGGTTTGCAAAAGGGAGAAAGGATATATATTAAAATAAACACTAGGCCGAAACTGGTTTGGCTCAGTGGATAGAGCATCGGCCTGCGGACTGAAAGGTCCCAGGTTCGATTCCGGTCAAGGGCATGT